GTGAACGGACCATTCATAGTGTCGGCCATAGACCGTCTAGCATGCACCGGTTCGGAATCACGCCACGCCGCCCCGACTTGGGAGCCCGCACCGAGATTGATACAGTTGAGAATGGCACAGACACGGGCCTCCTGCACCTCATCGAAGGAGGCTGAGGCATTATAAAGGCGATCGAAGTAGTCCGTCCACTCCGACACGTCTTCCACATTGCATCTGGACGCTGGCTTACCGTTCAGACGTTGCCATAGGGTCTTCGCATCCCGTTTGCATGTAGCTATGAATAACTCCAAGGCTCGCAGCCGGTGATCCCGTCGTGCGTTACGCTTAGCACGATTAAACTGACGACGTAACTCTTGAAAACTCGTATGCCCCATAGCCGGGGCAGCACACCCCCACTTCATCACATCAGACCGATACTGCAACATGGCCTGCTTAGCCGCAGCACACTCATCATTCCACCACGCCGCCTTGCCGTTAGAAACCGGCCCGGGCCTGAAGGCATCACCGAAGCAACCCAGCAAAATCCGTTCGATAGTGTCCACCGCCTGGGTGACACCAATCTGGCCAGCACGCAGGGAATCCACAACCGCCCGGACACCAACCACAGGGGGGGCCTCCGGGTTGTAGAACATGTCTGTGTACCTGTGCGCCTCAGAGACAAGAAACGTCGGCTTGGGTTTACGCGTGGGTGGCCGGTCCGGCCTCCAAACCGACGCGAGGTGAAGGGACACGGGGTTATGATCACTCAAGCGGCGTTCTTCACGGTAAAAAGAAGTGATCTGCCCAGACCTCCCAAAGCTTCTCCAATAGCTAAGCGTGAAGCACAACCTGGTAGCCCACTTCTGCACCAGCCTCCAAAGGCCGCCAGTACGTTGGTCTACAGTGATATTGATTAGCACACAACGCCACCTCAAGGGGGATGAAAGGCCCTCAGCCCGTTGGATGGTCCTGACCACCGGAAGGTTGGAAGTTTCCTTAGTTTATGTCAGGTACCTTCTGTGAGACATCATGCAGAAGGCACCCGCCATAGACTAAAGGAACCTTTTAAACTTTCGGTGGTCAGGACTACCCAGCAGGCTGAGGGCCTTTCAACCTTTTTTCCTCCAATCATGGTGCAGACCCTAAGTTTTAATGCTACTACCTCTTTACCAATGCGATGAGGAGGTCAGCACAACTGCATACAGCACCTAAGTTCACCCCATATCTACAGGATGCAACAGCCAGGATGGGGTTTTGCACCAGGCATGAGCCGGGGTTTTTAGGAGGGCGATTATGGGCCTTCCAGGCATGCTAAAAGCCCGGCTTGTGTGGGGTACTTGTGTAATGCTTTGCGGGCGAAGTGACATGTTAATCGTTCATGACCCATCGACGCCTTACCATTGTTTGCATGCTGTCGTTAACGTATTTGTGAATGGGTTGACGTGCGCACGGCTTTATATTCAAAAGTTACATTCCATGATCAGCGATGGGTTAAACGTCGGCAATCGAACCTGGATTGCGTCGAGCTACTAGATCTCACACCGCCAAACACACCAGGAAATCCGTTGCAGAGAGACATACTTCAAGCGTTTCCCCGGCACCCGCCGTCCTCGCAGATCACGCCAAAAAGGCCAGCGATTTTGGCCACAAGGACTCAGTCAAACGATGTCAGACCAGACACCCTAATTTAGGCCGAAGGGGTGAACTTGGTGGCATAGGCGAAGGCGTTAACAGCGCTGGGGTTGGCGAGGTGGTCAGACAGGTTCTCGATGGGGCCCTTGCCGGTCACAATAGCCTGCACGAAGAAGCCGAACATGGAGAACATGGCCAGGCGGCCGTTCTTGATCTCCTTGACCTTGAGCTCGGCGAAGGTGTCCGGGTCGTCAGCCAGGCCCAGCGGGTCGAAGGCGCCACCGGGGTGCAGCGGGTCCAGGCCCTCACCCAGCGGGCCGCCGTTGGCGCGGTAGGCCTCAGCCAGGCCCATCACGACAACCTGGAGCATAACATGGCGTGAGGAGGAAAAACCATCCGGAGGCTTTCAATGCAGGGGTTGCGAGCTAAGTGAGAACAATTTGGCGCGAGATCTCGCTGGTATCACATTAGCATGATATAATACACGCGCGTGCTAGCCTCGCCGAGGAATAGGTACATGGGGACGCCTGGCGGCATGCAACGACGTCCAAAGTACCAAAAAAATCTCCCTATCCACTGGCAATTTCGTAAGCTAGCACAGCCCACAAAACTTTAAAGCTTCAGATCCATCCACGTTACGCAAATACCTGGAAGGCCAGGGTGGCAATGATGGACTGCGCGTGCACCAGGTTCTCATTGCCCAGGTAGTTCAGGCCACCCTCAGCGAAGATCTGGGCGCCGGCCTTGAACCAGACAGCCTCGCCGAACGAGACACCCGCGTACTTGGACAGCAGCTCGGGGGTCACGCAGCCCAGAGCGCCCAACATGGCCCAGCGCGCATGGATGAGCTCCAGCTCGCGGTAGCGCTTGAAGGTCTCCGGGTCAGCGGACAGGCCGGCAGTGTCCCAGCCGTAGTCGCCGGGGAACTCGCCAGTCAGGTAGGCAGGGGTATCGCCCTCAGAGAAGGGGCCTGTAACGTGCAGGCGGAGAAAGCGTGGAAAAGCTTGATATAACAATTACAAGTTTTATGGCAACAATTGCATACAGCGGACAAGTTATTGAGGACCCGACGTGCCGGGTTAGCCTTTCAGCAGCGATACCTTACCTAGGAACTTGGGACGGTCAGGGCCATACCACTCAATGGCAGCACGAGGCACGACGCGAGCAGCCTGCACGATGTCATTGCAAAAGCGATTGTTAGCAGTAAGTGCCCAATATTACCGACATGCTTTTTCTACCGATATGCTTTTTCTACCGACATGCTAGGTTTTCGAATCTATGCTTTTAGCGATAAAGCGTACTTCCTGGCTGGGGATAGGGAAGCAGTTATGACTTAAATCGCGATGCACTTACCCGGCTGCCCACTGGTGTGGGGCGCACGGAGGTGCTGCGAACAGCAGACTTCACAACTGCCGACATTTTCCCAAACAGATATGAAATGATTGACACTAATCAGTTAGGTTTGCAAGCCTCAACTGGTGTGTGCAATAAGAACGTTGCTCGGCGTTTAAGTAGGCTTGTCTCAGTCATGCAGTTTGCACAAGGCCCGGCTGACCGAATCGTACGGAATGCTGATCGCAGGGGATCGGCCCGACTTTATTAGCTCTGGGTTGCATAATTGGCTGATCATGTGATCACTTTTTCCTTTTATGAGGTCTTAGCTCTAGTTTCACAGGTTGCCCACAGCAACAAGAAGACAGGATGATCCTGAATATGCTTTACTTACAATACTGATGAAATGTTGTGCGTGCAAATATGTGCTATCAGACTTTCATATCGTCATGTCTCCCGAGACGAACACGGCCAGTGACGGCAACTATGTGTATCCTATGTTGTATTCCGTTGCACCGAACACGGCACGCTTCAATAAATAGTTGTAAAGCTATATGTTAGGTTTTCTTATTATATCGTCACACGTCTACACATTGTGATGAAAACATATGTGCTCGAGTACATGGAAGTCGACTTACAAGTTCGAGATTTGAGTTACGCGTTGGGGCCTCGGGCATACATGTTTCCACTGTAATAGTTACCGCTATACCTAACGGCAGTTCCTATGTGTTCCGCTGTCAGCAGTTGCTGGGCTTTGGGGTGCAGGGCTTTAGCCGGTTGTGCATAGCACGAGCACACGAGTTGAGCGAGATCCCAGGACGGCTCATATGCAGCATAACCATCCAGCCACACTCCCGGAGCAGCCGAATGGAGCTGGATGCATGCCTTTATTGGGTACTAAAACACATCTAGCTAGCAATTACTCCAGTCCTTCCTAACACCGAATAATCCCTTTCCTTCGTCAAATCATTAGCGACCTCATCGCGACTTCATGATGTTCATGCATTTGCACGGTCGCCCAGGCTCGTCGGCAAAAAAATTCTGCATGCTGGTACTACGCGGACGGGCTTTTGGGAGTCAGTTATTTTAAATATCTTGACTATTACCAGATGCAACAAAGTGTGTTAGCGGGTGTTTGTATAGGCACAGCCTACCACGAAGCTAGCTCGGCTAGCTAACTCCCGCGGGAGCCTCACTTCGAGCACTTCGATAGTAAAACTAACCACTAGCTGTCGTAACAAGGTAAATAAACTGAGACGATATCAAATCACTTCGTGCCACCTCATGCATACTACACCCACTACTATAGACGGTGTTGGTGTGACCGAAAAACGTGGGCCTTCGCAACAAGCACCAACCACGCATTTTCATATAATGCCTTAAGTAATTCGAAGTCCGGGATGCAGTAATTGATGCTGCCTGTAGCGCTTTACATTGGCCCCCGCGCTAAAGGCAACGAAACAACGAAGCGCATGTTTTAGTTTACCGACGCAAATGTGTAGCAGCATTGCTGTACGCTTGCAACAGTAAGGAGCAGTAAGGGTAAGTGGAGAGTATTTACCCGTCTAGGTAAGTGCCCGTACACATCAGATGCACGGGCTCTACATCTAACCCATATATTTTCCTAACACCACATAACACAATTAAAAGAATTGCAAAGACCGAGCTAATTAACTGTCCGCAGTTGCAGTTAATGCAATTCAGAGCGACACCAACGGTTTACAAGTATTTGCTTTCTCAAGGTGGGAGGCGTAACTGTAGACATGTGGTAGCATACATCGCCGTCACCCAAGCCAACCCCATCCAAAAACCGCTTTCCGGAAAGTTACGGGAAATTCCCCCAACGGCCGAAGAAGCCAACATAGCATTCGCGTAATAATATATCTTCCACAATATTTTGAAGGCATTAAAAATATACATTGTAGCTAGCTCACCTTCAGAGACGGCTCGGTGGTTGGTGCCGCCGAACCATATGCGCTTCCTCCCATTTCATAATCTTTAACACAGGTTATCCTACTGGAATAAATCCCTCGTGGAAAAAACGGAGTTCACCATGTATGCTGCCAAGCGGTGTAATGAGCTTGCATTACGTTCAATGCTCAAGTTGCTGTTCCTGGCTGCGGTCTTAAACGGTAGGTTTGCGATTGCCTGAAATAGTTTTTCTCTTCAAGTGCGCGCCTGTTGTCTGAATACTGTCCTTTAAACTAACCGTTGTTGAAGGTCGACCCGCGCGAACATGTCGGTGCTAGTGCGTTCATGCACCCAGCTCGCTGCAATTAAGTGCAGCACTGAGTGGCTTTCTTCCTAGGTGCTCTAGCTAGCGTGCCGAACAACTCAACGTACACGCAATCCGCTATCGAAGTTCGTTGGCTTTCTACGAAAGGGCATGCCGCAGGAAGCGCACACGCACACGCGCACACAACCACACACACACAGCATACGTCTGCACACTACCTTACACAGCATGCCCGTTAACCTGTGATTCTCTGCACCCGTCCGTATCACCCCGTTACTCACTTGATTTTGTATGCCTCTCTACGTGTCAACCAAATGAAGAGTCATCACCTAAAGCGATTGCTGTTGGATGAGCTGATGGTCCAGAAATGCAACCGCCCGCTGAAGCTTATGCTCCACCCTCTCCCCCCCCCGCTTCCCCCCGTACACAGGCGTTATCCAAGGCCAGGCGCGCAGGGCGCCACGTTCCCCGCATTCGCCGTCCCCCCCTTCATCACCGCCGGCACCGCCCGATTGTAAGTCATGAGCATGTGACGTGTACTAATTGTATCGTATCGTATCGTACCGTATCGTATCGTATCGTATCGTATCATATCGTACCGTATCGTATCGTATCGTATCGTATCATATCGTATCGTATCGTATCATATCGTATCGTATCGTACGCGGTGGCGGTGGGGGTGGCAGGGTTGGTGGTGGTGGGATATACCGTATACGTAATTACGCGGTGGGATATACTGCAATGCGCACCCCGCCATGACGACCTGCTGAGATGGCAGCGGTACGACAAGATACGTAATTACGCTAAACAATACATTCTAAAGAGTAGATGCAAATATATATCTTGTCGTACCGCTGCCACCTCAGCAGGTCGACATGGCGGGGCGCGCCCCCGCGCATTGTGGTACATCCCACCACCTAATTACGCTAAACGATACATTAGAGAGTAGGGGCAAAAGTCAATCCCATTCCTCTCAGCGGCTCCTCCGCAGCTCCCTTCATACACCGGCACTCTTCAACTCCCGCTTTATCCGCAGGCCGCCATCCTGAATCCGCCCATTCGTATCGCATCTGATTACACGCACAGTAACGAATGCCCAACCCATCCACATACCATTTGCCGCTCCTGACCATACACACACAACACACACTACCATTACCACCACGCAAAACGAATCCTCAGACTCCAGGAAGGGACTTCGTCTGGTGCGCACCGTCCTGCAGCCCCGCGCCAGCAGCACGGCCGGCGGCCGTAATGGCAGAGGCGGCCATGAGGTGGTCACTGGGCGGCTGGAGGTCCGGGTCGGGTCACGGCAGCCAAGGGGCTCCAGGCCCCGCTGGGCGCCGCTGTGCGATGATGGCAGCTTTGACATTTGGCAGGCGCAGGTATAGCTAGCTAGCTGACTGACTGACGGACGGACGGACGGACGGACGGACGCACGGGGGCGGGTGGAGGATGTTAGGTTCCCGGTGTGGATGTGTGTGTGTGTGTGTTTAGGGGCCAGGGAGAAGGGTTTGGAGAGGTCGGCAGGAAGGCAGTGCGGCATGAGGGCATTGGCTAGACTGGTATGGAAAAACAGGGAGGGTGCAAGCAGTACATGATGTGAACCCAATCGGCCATGCGTAAGGCGTTCTCGTCCACGTGCATTACATTACAGGTCAATCCACCTCGGTGGGCGTGGCGGCCTAGCTATGTTACTGGATAATTAGCCAGCTGTTAAAGCTGTTAAAGCTGTTAGAATTGTTAAAGCTGTTAAGCTATTAGAATTGTTAAAGCTGTTAAGCTGTCTACCTGTGTGGCCGAATATAGGTAGCTTGCTTCGTTCAGCAACTTCACCCGGCAACATCACTTGAGACAGCAGCTGAATGCCGCAAGGTGGATAATCCGCTAGGTGGTCACCGTAATTAGGTCATTGGTTGATATGTAGTCGGACAGGTAGCTGGGTAGGAGGGATTGTTAAAAGCCGCAGGTGCATGTTGTGTTCTCCCGACTGACGATGCTAGGTTGTGTATGCCCCGACCCGTACACCCGTGCACAGGAGTTTTGCAACATCATGGGCTACAAGTACGGCATCAAGTACAACGGCAGCGGGATAAGTAGCTATGGCCCCGATGAAAACAGGTGAGGGAGGGGCCCAAGGGTAGCTCCGGAGACCCCTCCTTTCCTTCACCCATCCACCCACCCACCCCAGTGGCGGCAGTTCGATCCGGTCTAATTCGTTTTTTAATCCATTTTAAACATTTGTTATTTTGCTGCAAGCTAGATGGACGAACCTAGTAACCACAATGCCCCATTATTCCCTCACCACATGTGCCCCCCATCTCCCCCCTTACGTTCCCCTTCCCGTCCGCACGTGCATCTACCCCCCGCGGTGTCGTACATCCACGTCGTACATCGTCCTTACTGCATCAATGAGCAGCACCACCGCTGCCCAGCCGCTGGGCGGGCTCAGCTGCAGCAGCGAGCCCTGGCACGGCCGTCCCGCCACTTGGTTGGGCTTTATCGACTTCCCCTCCCGCATGGCGAAGTACTGCTACCTGTTCTGGTCGGACTGCCCCGCCAAGCTGTTAGTGGCGCTGCAGTGCTCAGGTGCACACTTTATTTCCTGTGTCTGTTTGAATGCGTGCGGCTAATTGGGGGCTAGCCAGACAGCTACGTGAATAGGTAGCTTGCTGCTACTTGTCTAAAAGGCACGCACGCTTGTTTCTATGGCTGTACAGAGTACGATACTTGTACCGGCGTAGGATCGATTGCCATTCATGGTATGCACACGCCGGTCAGGCAGCCTGCCAGATGCCCTTGTCGAAACACCTTCCATCCATCCATCCATCCGTTCACCTCTCCCGCCTCCTTTCTGGTATGCCGTCCTGCCGTCATGGGGTTGCATCCCACCTTCCTGGTTGCCCTGCTCGCAGATTCCCCCTTGATGGCGTCACCCCTCCCACCCCGGGCCCCCAGTAAGTGGTTCATGGCTTGGCCTGCTTGGCCGCGGGTGCGGCTGGAAGCGTCGGGCCCTGTACGACATGGGAGTAGCGGGCGTGTGTACGGCAAGACGACATGACGAAGGGGGCACCCCTGCCTGCGGCTACCCTGCCTGACACCCGACAGTTTGCCGATGAGCTATCCACGCACCCTACCTGCCTGCCGTACAGGTCCGCCGCCGCCCAACGCCGCCCTGCGCAAGGCCATCCGCTACGTTCCGCCTGAGCCAAATCTAGGCATGCAAGTCATGTTCGGCATGACATTCCGCTGGGAGCTGCTGGTCAACGTCTCCACCTCCGATATCGCGGGTAGTGTGGAGGGTGACGGCAGGGGCAGCGACGGGGAGCAGCAGTCAAGCAAGGACACTGCAGCGCCGGAGGCTGTCTGGGCGCCGCTGTGTGCGTCGCCTGGGCAGGTGGCGGCACTGAGGCGGCAGCCGCGGGACAGCTATGGTGACGCCGCCGATATTGTAGCCAACACCTCCTGTTACCAGGTGGGCGCTCTTGCAGATGCTGGTGATGACATGTAACGCGTTGCGGTCTATCCGTACTTTACAACTACTGGCAATAATGAAAGTTGCAGATTAAAAGCCGTCTGCAATAATAAGAGGATTGCAACGCGCGGTTTGCTGTGGATGATGGTGGTGCGTGACATGACATGACATGACATGACAGCAGTATCGCATTGTGGGCGTTTTTCCAGCTTGTCTGTCCTTCCCTGGCGTATTGCGAGGGAAGATTTGTGTCTGTGTGTATGTCTGTGTGTATGTGTTTTCAAGATCTGAGCCGTGGATGGGAAATGGCGAGGGCGCTACAAGATTCGTGTGTGTATGTATGTAAATATTGCATGTATGTACGTGCGCTTTGGCTGCACTTTTCCCTTCACCCATGCGGCCTCGGGTGCATAGCTCGCTGACACCTCAATCGCTTCTGCTCCCAACCTCCTCCATCTTACCTTGTACTCATTGTTTTTAGTAAACTACTGCGATATCATAAATAGTTGGTTGCCATCTAAGTGCCTGGCTGGTTGGCTGGTTGCAGGTGGACGACTTCACGAGTGGCTTGTTCCTATCTTTGACCGGCTACGCCCTCGCTCCAGTTGCCATCCCAAAAGGCAAGTAGGTGGAAAAAGACTTCAAGCAGCAAACCAGGCGCTTTGCTTTGCTTTGCTTTGCAGCTCGATAAAACGCACATCTTTTGGCGCGAGTTTCATCTGATCTCGCGACTTTAGCGTCCTATGACTAAACTACTAATTCGATAAAGCACACACGCGCTTACAGATTATGGTGGAGTGTAGCCCAGAGGTACATCTTTCACCCTTCTAATCAGGTGTCATGCACCCTCCAGAGCAAGCATACACGCGGAAGGATCAGCCTCGACGTGTTGTCGAAAGTCGAGAAAGTCGAAGGCATCCCGATCGAGGAAAGAACGCACGTGGAAAGCGCATACATGTATCTGTTCACATCTTGCTACATAAAATCTAACTTGCTCCTCCTTTATCGGGACCGCGGGAGCCGCGCACAGTGTAACACCCCATCAACTTGCCTGTCTGCCAATCGGTCAGTCAGCATTCTAATCTATCTGTATGTCAACAGAACAGATTCTTTGTGTGTTAATGTTTAAATGCGTTGTTATTTTCATTACGTAGCGCCGGCGCCCCCGAGCAGTAGCAACTACAACAGCACCGACAGCAGTAGCTTGTACTATTACGACAGTGTTAAGGACGGGTTCGACCCATCCAAGTACAGCCACTGGGTGACGATTGTGGACGACGGAATCCGGGCGGACCGCCAGGCACTCCAGGAGATGCAACTCAACGTAAGCGGTACTGGGAGGATGGGTGGGAGGATGGGTGGGAGGATGGGTGGGAGGATGGGTGGGAGGATGGATGGGTTAACACAGCCATCAAGCCCAAGCAAGAAAGGCAGGGTAACCGCTAGGAAGATGCCTTAGGGACGAACGTTATGAAGGACCTGAAACCTGACGCACTTATCACGCGATGACGCACAACCACCCGAAGCGCATCGACATACGGCGCCGTGACGCGTGCATCATCCCCTTCCGCTTTCAAACGGACTGGCGACCTGCTTCCGCACATACGTCGTATACACGCGTACATATACACAGATACATATGTACACATACACGCACCTCACTCCGTGTTGAGCCCCAAATCAATATCCCCTGCTTGCCTCCCTTGCGTAGATCTCCACTACACCTTGCGAATCTGGGTACCTCTTCATTTCCCGCTGTGACCTGATCGTAACAACTTGAACGGAGGAAATTGTTTTGTTGTCGGTGCGGTGGTGATAATGTTAGCGATGATAATGATAATAATGATCATCATCATTATGATGATTTATCATTATAATAGGAGAAGTAGATGTTTATTAAGATTAAAGGCGATAATAGTGAAATATTTTGAAGGTTTGCGGACTTCAGATTGCTCATAGCGGTAGGCAACAAACTGCGTGCGCGCTTTTGCTGGCAATAAATAATGTCCGGTTATGTTATGCCACATTGTGCAGTAGCAAGCCAACTGGCAAGCGAAGCAAAACAGGCGGCTGGTAGATATGTTGCTGCCGCCTGACTTGCATGATGCATGACGCACACCCAGGCACGTTGCTTGTGCTGCTAAACAGCCGTGTATTTTGCATACATTCAAATAGCTAGCTGTGGGCTTTATACCTACGTAGCAGATAGGTTTTAGGGTTTTAGGACGGTTTTAGGCTTTATTTTGCATGACTGCAGTTACATGCTACAACGGCGGATGCTTCTGCTAATCCTATTGCTATGCCTTCTACAAGAGCTCCGGAGGATCCTGCAGCTCCTGGAACGACCCCACTTCATCATCGTGCGGTGCGCGCAGGATGGACGCATCCGATATTCTATAGACGGGACGGTCGCGCATTACTCATGCAGCGGATATGCATACATACATGCATACTAGGGTTTGGCACTACTGGTAATGCGCGACCATTGCCCCCGGGAGATCCCGGGATCGATACCCATTAGGGTCAAAAGTCCTTCCGATGGTGGAAGGCATTGCGCCCCTAGTTGATGGACGGTGGTGACCTGGGATAAAGTTAACCTGCGAGCCGACCAGGAATGGAGTTGGGCCGCTGTCGACCCGGCAGATTCCGTTGGATGCTGGTGGTGGGTGCGGAACCTGAGCGATCCACTGAGAAGTTGACTAGGGTGACTGGATGAGGGTGCCCCGAAATACCGGGGAAGGCAGGGTTTCGCAGGGTAGCTGCCACGGGCGAAGATACACCCCCCTGTTTCACACATCATACATGCATACATGCAGCTTGCTTGCTTGCTTGCGCGTCTTTGCGCGGCGTGTGCGCGCGTCGGGGCCCCCACCAGCGGCTCCGCCAACACGACGTCTGTTTTGCAGGGTGGTGGACAGTGTGGCTGGGCAGAGTGAAGGGAACTAGCGGGGATGGGAAAAAGGAGGCGAGTTTGCTGCAGTACATTTACACATACACCCACACACATACACATATTTCTAGGCGTGCGTGCGCTGATGGGGAGAGTTTCTTCATTGCTCCGTTCCGCATGCGCCGTGTAGTAGTAACGGTTCTGCGTTTGTAGGGTTTTGGCAGGTACGCGAAATAGACTTACGGACGTATGTACGCATGTATGTATATGCGTGCACTTACCAGCGCCATTGTGCATTGCAAGCGTAAAGCGCGGTGGGGGGAAGTCATACACAACTGCCTCTACATACCGTTCACCATCACGTGTATATAAACATGCCCCCACCCAGTCGTCATTAGATCATCAGTGTGTATAATATATAACGATAGAATACAACTACAAAAGGCGCAGCAGCAGCAGCACCCGGTAGGCATGCCACGATAGTCCGTTACTAATGCTTCCCTGTTGATCGTTACCGTGCGTTGCGAATGCGCACGCACATACCGCCGAACACGTACATGTCGTACACGGAGCTGTACGTGGCCTGATGCCGTACATGTGCTTGCATACCACTCGCTATGCTGCATTTTGCCGAGGGTTGATTATCTCACCTATATAACCGACGTGCATGGTGCGATTGTAAAAACGATGTGACTAAGGGTGGTGTAAGCCTTGTACGATGCTGTACAGCTGGCAGCTTTAGCGGTGGAAATAGCTTCAGTTGTAGAAATTTACTCCTCCCAAGGCCTGCGCACGGAGACGTTGTGGCGCCTTTGTGTGTGCAACATATGTATCTGCTTCAAAGACTATACACCATTACGCGTGGTTTCGGCCAACTGAGCGGGCAGGCATATCATGACGGTTTCGGAGCGACAGGTGTTTGACTTTGTCTGGGCCACCAATTTGTACCATGGGGGCCGCGTGCGTGTTGGCAGCAGCAGTAACCTTCGGTCACCACACTACACCACCCGCAGGTGTAGTGTGGTGACCGAAGGTTATTGCGATTGCGAGATGGCGATTGATTAATTTTGTTGGCTGCTTTGCTGAACTTAAGTCTATGGGCGCCGTACGGGGTGCGCCGTACGAGATTGATGGGTGCCAGTCTAAGGCTGCAGAATGATGACGGCATGATGATACGACGTTGACAGGAACGGAAGGGACCGCATCCTGGCGGTCGGAGCTCGGACGAGTACGCCTGTAAAGGTGCTAGTTTGAAAACATGAGGAGCCTGTCTGACCCTGAATGTCCGCACCACACCCTCGAACGAGCTGCAGGATTCGTGTATATGCACATATACATGCACATCTGGAATCAGATCTCCCTCGCGCGCGCGTATCTACCTCTGCAATCTTCCACTGGCAGGCCACAGCACAGCACAGCACAGCAGGCGCGGGGAGCAGCGGCTGCTGCTGCGTGAGCACTTGCATCTGCACAAGTGGGGATTTTGCTGTGTGAGGACGTGTGTGAGGGGGGGAAGGTGGAGGTCTGCGGTCCCCGAGCGTGGACCAGAAACAGGCGCCTCTTAACGACAGGGCAGGCAAAGGTAGTAGCTCCGTAGGTAGGTGGATATGTAGGTAGGTAGGTAGGTAGGTAGGTAGGTAGGTAGGTAGGTAGGTAGGTAGGTAGGTAGGTAGGTAGGTAGGTAGGTAGGTAGGTAGGTAGGTAGGTAGGTAGGTAGGTAGGTAGGTAGGTAGGTAGGTAGGTAGGTAGGTAGGTAGGTAGGTAGGTAGGTAGGTAGGTAGGTAGGTAGGTAGGTAGGTATACCTGCAGAACGTTCTAAGTAGGCGCGTGTGTGTATATACGCGTGATATAATTACGGCATCACGTTTTTGTGAAACTCGTCTCATGTGTGTTGTTTGTAGTGCGTGTCTGAATGTCTGCAGCAGCAGATTGATTGATAGGTGTGGACGAAGCCGTTGTGAGCCGCCATTCATCCCCGTCCACTCATTAAAGGTGATTCGTATGTACATCATTATGCATGCTTATATGGTGGATGATCCATGCTGGATATAATCTTGGCCACGCATTATCGGTGTACGATTTACGTACATATGTAACGTACAATTGTTTGTGCTTTTCGATGTAAGGTTTGAATGGCTCCCCAGCGCTGCCAGGTACCTGTGCGCCTTTTTTGTGTCCGCGAGCAAGCTGCTTCTACCCTTCCACCGAGACAGGTGGATAGGTAGAATAGATGAACACACACATGCCGGGGAAGAGGGGGACCAATTGCCATGCTATGGCTTCGTCTGTCTATACACGCATACCTCTGGATGCGTTCGATTCCTGGGGAGACCCCCGAATTAGTCGGGAGCGCGAGATTATGGCTAGCTGCTGAGATGTGGAGTTGAGGTCGCAGTTAATGGACCAGATTCGCACGCTGGATTGGTGGCGATTGCCGAACCCTCCGTCTCTTCGGTTGTTCGGGTGAATGGATGAGGAGGGGTCCTAGACGGCTGGACCCGCCGCCTTGGACTTACAGTTCGTATGGCGAAGTATAGAAAGTATAGAAAGGATGCGCGTGGGTTAACTCATCTGGTTTCATAACTCAAGCTTTACCCTCGTCCTCGTCCTCGTCCTCGTCCTCGTCCTGGTTGTTGTATGTGTGTGTCTGTGTGTGTATATAATAGACAAACTGGAAGGCAAACAGACAGATGCCCCCGGCGGAGCGAGCTGGTGTGCATGTGTTTGTGTGCGTGTGTTTGTGTGCGTGTGTTTGTGTGCGTGTGTTTGTGTGCATGTGTGTGAGTGTTACATCGCACACGTGATGCGTCTTATTGCGATGATAGAGCCCATTACCGGAGAGATGCAGTTGGATAGCACTGTTGGGTATTTGCTTGTACATGTATGCGCTCCGCTCCGCCCTTACCCTGCGTTAGCAAGCGGCGCGGTCATAATCGGTGTTTACTACGGTGTTACTGCTGCCGTTCTCTGTTGCGTTTCTTTGTTCTGAGGCCCTCGTGGCTGTTTCGATCTTGATCACCCGGCTCCGCGCAATTTTAGGGGAGACAAGTCGGTATGTAAATAACGTTAAGATACGCAAAAACGTGCTTCGTCCTCTGAACGCGTGAACCTTGCAACGGTGAAGGGAAAGGGCTTCCTTGCACTCGCAGACCATGCACACGCGCATACAGCGTCCCATATGCCTGCCGCAGGTGCGCGCCCCAAGGGACTGCTGTGAATGCAGCATTATTATAACTGTTATTGTCCTTTTCCTGTATGCACGTCTGTGTGCACTTAAGACGGCAGAACCTCCCAGGAGCGTACCCACAATCTCTCTGCGCTCTCAACAAACCAAATGGCTTGCAAGCAGTGGCAGCATGCAGCAAGTGCTGCAGGCCTTCGTCCTAATGAATGCCTAAGACAAAATATTAGAACAATGATAGCAAATGTGAGGGGCTGGTTTGGATTTCTCTTCTCACAGCGTCGAAATTAGAAACATGCGGGTTTCGATCCGTTCCACTGCACGCGGGTATTAACCACCGGGAGATGAACAGCATTACAAAGCAAAAGATAACAGGCGCAGTAGCGGCATGAGAACCCAGGCCACACGCAGCTAGCCAGCTGTTACAAAAGCCTGAACCTGCATACATGGCCGGGCCCCACACGCCGCGCCACGTGTTCGGACACCCAAATGTGCGGCCAGGCAGCTTCACAGGTCGATGCCCAAGTTTTTAAACATTTCCGCAACAAGCTCCTCTCGCGCCAACAACGTCATTACGCGACGCGCTACTTGGGCCTCATGCGAGGCGGCGCCGCCGCCTCCGCCGCGACTGCCGCCAGCACCGCCGCCTCGTGCGTACATCTCCAGCAGCGGCTCCAGCACCCCCGCCGCCACTGCCAGTCGGTGGTAGCGACTCTCCTCCCCTGGAGTGGTCCCACACGACGTGACGCGGGAGAAGCCGGGGAGTGAAAGAGTAAAGGCTCAGTGTTTGGGGTCCATCGTGGGAAGCTCGTTCCCTTTACCAAGCAAGGAGGTTCAGGAGGAAAAAGAGGCACAGGCCACAACCTGCTCGTGCTGCGCCATCTGGCAGACAACACAGGCCACAACCTGCTCGTGCTGCGCCATCTGACAGACAAAGCCAAGCAGGTTGATGGGAAGCCCATGTTTGTGTGTCAGGTGGATTTCGAGAAGGCCTTATGACAAGATCCCCAGGGGGAGGGGAGTGGAATGGGAGGGGAGTGGAAGAGGATGGGGAGTACAGTCACGTCATGTCATCATGCCGTCCAAACCCACCCAGCAAGGGCACCAAGGCTGCCGCCGCCGTCACGCGCACTTGCGCCATCAGTCCCGGCCGCCCGGAGTGAACCCGCAGCGCGACCACCAGAGCCCCCAGGGCGCCCTCCACCACCAGCCTCTCCCGGAGCTCGGGTTGTAACGCCAGCAACCCCACCAGGGCGCCTGCGGAGCGTTGACTCTGCAGAATCCAAGCTATGGTGGACGCGTCGTGGCTGCCTGCGTATGTATACACACATATATGTATGTACATAGAGGCAGGCATAAAACAGACATACCGACAGGGGCAGATAAACCACAGATGCGTACGTATTTGAGTTTGCGTTTCGATTCGCATTCAGTTAACAAGCGGCTGTAAAAGGTAGACATCTGTACCATGACTCGAACCTGGGGCAGGTACTATGCGCACCTACCCTCCTCGCGTGATTTTGTTGTGTTGTGTGCCAGCACAATGGCCAAGTGCCGAATGATCCCCGCCTCCACGAGCGCCAGTGCGGCGGTGCGTGATGGCGCCACATCCCGACACGCCTCCAGCACCGAGTTGTGCAGGTCAGCGAAGTCCGTCTCCCTGAAGGTCGGGTGGGTAGGTAGGTGGGTAGGTGTGTAGGTAGGTAGGTAGGTGGGTAGGTAGGTAGGTAGGTGGGTAGGTAGGTAGGTGGGTAGGTAGGTAGGTAGGTAGTAGGTAGGTAGGTAGGTGGGTAGGTAGGTAGGTAGGTGTGTAGGTGTGTAGGTGTGTAGGTGTGTAGGTGTGTAGGTAGGTAGGTAGGTGGGTAGGTAGGTGGGTAGGTAGGTAGGTAGGTGGGTAGGTGTGTAGGTAGGTGGGTAGGTAGGTAGGTAGGTGGGTAGGTAGGTAGGTGGGTAGGTAGGTAGGTAGGTGGGTAGGTGTGTAGGTAGGTGGGTAGGTGGGTAGGTAGGTGGGTAGGTAGGTAGGTAGGTAGGTAGGTAGATTACCAGGCAGACAGACAGACACAGCGAAGGGTATGTACGAGCAATGCTGCAAGGTTGTGGGTTGGCGGAGGGGTTTACATCGCGGCGAGGTCAACCCGCAGTCACTCACGCCTTCTCACCCGCACCCGCACCCGCACCCGCACCTGCACCCGCACCAGCAGAGGCCTAACGCCCCGCCCCACTCACACATCGGCTTGGGGGTTCTCGGCATAAAGCCCCGCTTGCTTTGAAACACTTGCGCATGCACATATGCACACGTGCACACACATGCGCGCTAGCCAGCCGGCCAGCTATATAAACCTTTCCATCCTTTCATCCCCCGCATCCATCCATTCATACCCCCGCGCGCAGCTGATCGCCCCAGTTCTCCCCTCCCTCTCCCCCCCCACGTGTTGTGTTCCGCACCCCAACCCCTCCAACCCCTATTCCCTCCCCCTTCCTCATGTTCCTCACTCGTCACTCCCCGCACACGACCGTACCTCATAACCCGCAACAGCTCCCGCGCTAGAGACCCGCGACCCGCCTCGCTGCGCTCGCAGAGCAGCACACCGCCGCCACCTCGCCGGCCGCCGGCGCCTCTCCCTGCGGCATAGGGACCCTGGTGACCCGCATCCCCCTTGTCATCATCGTCATCATCATCAGCAGCAGCATCAACATCACCGCCGTCATGATCATCTTCATCACCACCATCATTCGTCGCCCAGACGCCGCCACTGCCGCCGCCGCTGCCCGGGGCTGGCGGCAGCTTGCGGTGTGACGCCGTGTACCGCACCAGGTTGCAGCAAGCTGAGTGAGCCCGGGCATCGGAATCCCCCTGAGATGGAGGTATAGGCAGACAGGTAGGTAGGTAGGTAGGTAGGTAGGTAGGTAGGTGGGGTGTGGAATGGGTAGGTAGGGCATCCACGCAGGCCCAATGGGCAAGGACAATGAGAAATGGGCATCGCAAAACACGGGGGGGCCGTAAATGGCCAGGCAGCAGAAGGTTGGGAACGTCTACATGGCCACAACAAGAGTACCAGAACCATTAACATCCCCCCCACCACCACCACCAGCACCGGTTTCGGATTCCGCCACACACACACATACACACACACCACCATCACTACCACCGCCACACACTACTGCGCTGCAACTGCCCCGTACTCCCACTGCTCACCTGGAAGAGCAGCTGCACACACAGGGAGAGGGCGCCCGCACCCACAACCTCCCGGGCCACCGCATTGTTGCCATTCCCGTCGCCGTCGCCGCCGCTATCCCCTGTGCCGCTGCCTCCTCCTCCTCCGCCGCCGCTGCCCCCTCCCTCCTGTTCCGACAGCGTTATGAGCTCCATCAGGAGCTCCAGGGAGGACCCCAGACTGGCTGCCTGACCCTGCCGTACCTCCCGTACCAGGGGAGCCACAAGACCTGCGGCCAATGGGACAGAAACTCAGATGCTGTGTTTTTACCTGGTCACGTCGATCTGCGGGTCTCCTTTCTCATCTTTAAATGCTCTCTAAATACCACCACCACATCATCATCACCACCACCACTCCAACATCCCCACATCACCACCACCACCACCATCACCACCACCACCACTACCAATCCAACACCCCCCACATCCCCCACACCACCAGCACCAGACACACGCGGTCCGCACCAATCCCTGCACTGACACACACCCCTGCACTGACACACACTTCGACATACTTCGACACTCCGCCATCCCCAGCCACACCCAGCCATCCCCAGCGCACCCATAGCGGTCATGTTGTTCACCAGCTGCCGCTGCTGCTGCCGTTCTTGCTGCTGTACAGCCGCTGCCGTGGCCTCGTCCATCCCCGCCGTCACCGCTGTTGCTGCTGCTGCTGCTAGCTGGTGCAGCAACCGCGCGGCAGCACCCACTATAGAGCTACTGCCGCTACTAACCGTGCCATTGCTACTGCTACCGCTGCTGCTACTGCCAGGACTGGGTTTGTTGCTACTGCTGTTGTTGCTGCCCCCTCCTGCATAGGAAAGGATGACCTGCGAGCAGTCGATTGCCGGGGGAGGGGAGGAGGGAGGCGGGAGATGCCGGATGGCGACTGCGGACAGACTGCAACAGCCGGTAAAACAGGAAGGTAAGGGGGTGCGGGGGCAGGCAGCCTCGGGAGCTGGGACGAGTGGTTGACCTCGTGCGGGCGGACAGAGGGAGGCGCCGTGCGGGCAGGTAGGTAGGTAGGTGGGTGGCTAGGGCGGGAGGGTGGATGGGAGGGAGGGTGGGAGGGAGAGAGAGGAGGGTGGGAGAGAGGGGAGGAGGGAGGGAGGGAGGAAGGCAGGGAGCGAGAGAGGGAGGGAGAGATGAGAGGGGTCCGTCAAACTATACATCATGTATATGGAACCCGCTACGTACTGCCGCCCCGACTGACATCTTCCCTTTTTCGGGGGCCCCCTCCTCCTCCTACCCCCCCTCCTTTCCCCCTTCCTCCTCCTCCTTCACCACCAACCCCCAACCCCCCTCCTTCCCGCGCGCTGTTCCCCCTCATCCAGCTGGGTTACCAGGCTGGAGTCCCGAGTCCTAATCTAGCCATAATACTGGGGCGTCGCTTCTGTTTGCAACTCAACCCACCCCGGGCTGCACCCGCATCACGTGTTTCGGTGTGTCCGGTTCCACTAGTCACGTTTCTGTCATCATGTATGTCGGTGAGCTCAGCCTTAGGCCCAAGCCTGCCTGGACCTCCCGTTGGTGGCCGAGCCCTTCTCCCCACTAGCAGGATACTCCCCCCCTCCTCACCCGGACATATGTCATTCAAACCCTCTCCCCCCTCTCCCCCAGGACCACCGCCGTGTCGTACAGCACACATACCCGCTCCCACCTGCGCCAGGAGTACGGGGACCTCAAGCTCCAGAACCATCTTCCTCCCAGCGGGCAGTCCGGTGACCACTTGTAAGAGCTGCGCGCCGGACTGTACGGCGTCGGAGCTATTGAAGTGAGCGCCTTTGACAGGCCGGGCGGGGGCGGGTGGGTGATAGTGGGTGGATGGGTGGGTTTTAGGGTCACGGAGTTCAGGGCTGGCTAAACCTCACTTGGGTCGGGGGGTCGGGCGAGCAGGGGCAGTGGAAAGGGTCTTCACATCCCCTGGCGCTTCTTTTGCCCCTCCTGTTTGCCGACTTTGGCAGCCCCCCACCCCACCCCCCGTTCCTCATTTCCCGGGATCCCCCTCCTTACCAAGCCAACATACCCGACCCTCTTTCGCTCGGCCTCTCAACCCTCCCGCCCCCCCCACCCTCTCACCCGCTTCAACCAGGGTTTTGCCCACGTGAGCCAACACATCCACACGCTCCGAAACCCATTCCAGAACCAAAGGGTGGTGCTGCGGGAGATTTCGATACAGGTGTGGGGCATGCTGCTGCTGATGATGATGTTGTTCTTGTTGTGAGGGGCTGTCACTTCCCCTCTCCACCATCGATAGCGAGTGCAGCAGTACGGATGCAGCTGCTTGCCACAGGGGCACACCTGCAGATGTGAATGGACACGTGTACACATACGTACATACGTACGTACGTACGCACAAGACACAGGGTATGTTCAGTCTTAGCACATGTCTCATCTACACGCCTGCTGCTAGCCATCGCCCGAAGGGGGAAAAGGTGGACGCTGAACATCGGAGCTATCCTCCTCCCACCACCCAGAACCTTCCTCTATCTCCTTGCCTGAATAGGCCACACATTGAACACTGTTCGACCGTGACAGTCACGTGACGTGTCCAGTACGAAATACACACCTAGGGAAGTGCGTCGGGTGTCGCGCCCTGGAGTCGGGAGCAGCCCGGAAGGGCCCAGAAGGGGAGAAAAAGGAGGAGGGATGGAGGAGAGGTGGAAGGAGGGGGAGGAGAGGTGGAAGGAGGGGGAGGAGAGGTGGAAGGAGGGGGAGGAGAGGTGGAAGGAGGGGGAGGAGAGGTGGAAGGAGGGGGAGGAGAGGTGGAAGGAGGGGGAGGAGAGGTGGAAGGAGGGGGAGGAGAGGTGGAAGGAGGAGGGTGCACCCCGCTGAAGACGCGGCTCCAGGAGACAGCTAAGGGGTGACACTGGCCGGACTCCGATAGCAGCAGCAGCAGCAGTAGTAAGGAAGCGGAATAATAATAAGAATAATGAGGAGATGGAAACACAGCGCAATGCCCACAACTGACCTAACACCCCAACTGCTGAGGACCGTAACCACCAACTGAACCCACCCCAACCACCACATCCCCGCCCAGACCCCAGCACCGCGCCATGCCACATCATGCCACTCCCTCTCACCGCTCTTTAGCACCTCTCCCAGCCGCGACAACAGCTTGCCCCGGGGCATCTGCTTCCGATCCCTCCGGCCGCCTCCACCGCTGATGCCGCCGCCACCGCCGCCGCCGCCGCCGCCCTCGGTAGCTCCCAACATCCAGTCCTGCAGCTGCCTATCCCCTGCCACCAGTCTGGACAGGGCCACCAGGGCTGCTGGCAGGAAGTCCATCTGCTGGTTCGGACCGTGTCCATCACTCAGATGATGGTGGTGCGGCTGCTGCTGTTGTTGTTGTTGCTGTTGCTGCTGGCGCAGTAAGTCGCGTTGGGCGTCTGCCAGCTCCAACGTCATGACTCGCCGTACCAGGGATTCCACAATGCCTGTGCCGTACAAGATGAAATGTTTTTTTGCAGTTATGCTCTTTGCAGTTTTTGTATCAATAAGTAACACCGCTGCACTGGCATGTATGTATGTATGTATGTATGTATGTATGTATGTATGTATGTATGTATGTATGTATGTATGTATGTATGTATGTATGTATGTATGTATGTATGTATGTATGTATGTATGTATGTATGTATGTGTGCACACAGGCCTCTTTGTGGGGTGCCTGTCCCAACCGCCACACACGTTCCCGAGGGAATGTGTGCAACTCTACGCGACAGTTTACAATGACAGAAATGCATTTCCGTACCCGGCGTTTGTTTGACTTGCTCCCTGAGCCCGGGCAGCGAAGCAAGGTACATCAAGGAGAGCGCTGCGGACGCAGCTCGTTCAGTTGGGGAGGTGTCCCCCTGCCGTACAGGTACATGCCCAGGAGCCGTACTGGGGCCCCAGGAGCTGGAGTCGGTTGTGGTGGTTGAGAGGATGTCGCTGTTCAGGTCGGCGAGCAGCTTGGGCGCGTTAATGGTGGGACCCGGGGAGCTGCTCAGACGAGGAAACAGCGTTTGAAGGACGCCGAGGATGCTGGGCGTGAGGCCTGTGTGGATGAGTGCGGTATTCCGGATGGCGAGTGCGGGGGAAAGGGCGGAAAGGGCGGGGGAAGAAGGCAAGGAAGGTGCAGGCGGGAGTTGGTATGGAAGAGGCATGCTTGAGTAGCTGCAAGGTCCGACTGGAAAACTCCAGAAGCGGTCCCTGAGGTAAGAGATTGCGCGTTAACCGTTGGCTGGACTTTGCAAGTCGCGGATCGCGGGATGGGGATTCGGAGCAGCTGTAGTACGCTCAACACTGAAGGAGGACGTGAAAGCGCTTAGGACACGCTAAGTTGAAATGCTTTGGGAAAGATACGACAAGAGATCTGCTTACCGGCGTAATGCATCGAAATAGCCAGCAGCGCAATTGCCGCTGCCGCTTTCGATGCAATGCGCGCCATGTTTGCTCAGTGAATGTGACAGTAGGTTCCAATCAACCGTCTTGATCTGTATTTCATGTAGAGTTTAGGTATTGGCGTCTCGAATTTCAGCTTGACAGGCGAAGGACGCAATGGACGTTAGTAGTTAATGAATTCGGAGGTGGCGACCTCTAGGGTGGTAATTATTTGCATAAAAGCAAATCCATTATTTACAAAATAAATTGTTCATCCTCCCTTGGTGTTACAGGGCATACCAAAGGGCAAGGAAAGCCAGGGTCCGAAATAAATAAATTTGCATAACTACTGAGTCGCTATAATGATAGCACTAGAATTCCAGAGAAAGGTACCTTCCGGGATTCAGTTTGGCCAAATTAATGTACGGCAATTAGTAGTGCAGCATGCAACGCCACAACGTTTGAGATACACCTGCGTACTGCAACTTGGCGCTGTGCTCACAGTGATGGGAGCTAGCAGCTACGTAGGTAGCGACTCCATCGCTCTCTGGCGTCCGTATGTTTGGGAGGGTTCACGCGCTGCAAAATCGCCGATGTGCTTAGCCCGGCACATAACTGACTGGCTGAACGTGCAGATACATGCTCCACATGATATCGCATTCAATGCAGCCCACACGAGGGCGACAGGAACCGGCACAGCTCCAATACTATGCCTTAGGGAGCGCCTCATATTGCACTTGGGGACGCATTGATGCGAGCTCCCACACACTTAATTTCTACATCAAGCGCGATGCTAAAATCCAACTCCACCTCAACAATCTAGAGAAGGCATAAAGCTTCCGGAACCGTACCGCGCTGCTATGCGCCAATTGCCTGTACTACTGGTTTAAACCTCTTCACCGCAACGTGTTCAGAATTGCAGTAGTGTTATTGCAGTGTCATTGCAGTGTCTAATACCATTATGACATAATTTTTTAATGAGAATTCATAAAACACAGTCGACGGGGATCACAGGAGGCGGGCCTGCGGCAACGGCCAACGACATCAGTGTACGGTGGACATCGGTATTCTCCCCGGCTTCCATCCGACGCGTCACTTAATTGCATTTACGGATAACCATTGTGTTTCAGCTTGTCACTAGTACCTGACTTTACTATTTTCAACGCACAGTTGTTACCTTCTGTATGCATGCTGGCAAGTTTTGATGAGACCGAAGCGGCATTTACGCCTTTATTTCGCATATGACTAACTATTCAATGAGTGAATGATATGGAGCTGCCAATACCTATTTAGAAAGGATAACCCTGAAGTCCTGTTCGTGCGCCATTCCGCCACCTGGAAATGAGCACAGCGAAGGGCCGTCCAGGATACACCGAAGCTTCATTAAAGGTATATAAACTGCAAAGTCAACTATAAGGAACTTTGGCACAGCACAGTGTGGTAATACCCCAATGCCCTAGCTACCTACTTGGCAAGGCGCGATGTCACGTATCATCATTGATTATAAGTCTATCAGCTTTATGATCATTTTCGTATACATGGACGATAGTCCAACACCACACTTCCCTTCCACACATGTCCACCTGTGTCATGCACCCTTAATCAAAAAAGCGCATCGCTTTTTCGATGCAACTCCCTATTAGCCACAAAAAATCTGCAGTCGTGTTGCTGGCTATGCTTATGCTCTGGTCCAGTTTACCGAGGCCTCTCGTACCCTCCTGCCCATCCCGCCGCACCAGTCCGCAGCAACAGCAATGTTCACCACCAAATCCCACCGTCCAGTCCCACCTCTTCCTTCCTTTCACGCCCAAAACTCCACTGCCCTTCTCTCCTCTCCCCCTTCAGGGTGGTGATCCCGCCTCTGCCGATGGCTTCGGCAACGAGATTGAGCGCATGCTCATGGACCGGCCCATGACACGTCACTCCTTCACGGCGGGTTGTGTCCAAGGCCCCGGCGGCAGCAGCGCCGCCGGCAGCGGCGGCGGCGGGGGCGGCACCGGCAACACATTGGACGATCTGATGGCCGAGCTGGGAATGCTCCGAGGAGAAAGAGGAGAGGTGCGACCTGCGACCCCTGTTTGGAAAGCTTAATGCTTTCCTTTGACGGGGAATAAACTTCTTGTGTTGCAAGTAAATTTGATTCGCGCGATATTACTTGTGGCACACAGCACGACACACACGCATACATACACACACACACATACACACACACAGAGGCAGATTTTTGAACACACTTTCGTCACACGCAATAACTCGGCCCTTCTCCCGCCGCTTTCCCCCGACCTCCTCCTGAGCCGGTCAGGTCGCCCTGCCCGACCGGCAGCTAGGCCGTACAGGAACAAGAACCGGCGCACAGAGGGTGTCCGCCACGGGGGGTGTTGACATGTCCCTGTTAGCTGTAGCAGCAGCAGGAGGTGGAGGTGGCAGTAGCAGTGCAGACGGGGTGAGTGTCGTGGCCTGTACGTGTGTACGTGTGTACGTGCGTGTCTGTGTGTCTGTGTGTGTTTTCCGCCGCTGCGTAAACACCGCCGCAACCGCCACAACCGCCATGTACGTCACAACCGCCGCCGTGGGTCCCTGGGCATCCTTGGCAGCCGTTACAACACCATTCCCACAAGCATCCCTTCCTCCGTTCCCCCCTTCACGCCCCTTGCCCTCCCACACCCTCCGTCGCATATCACGCACCGGTCGTCTTATCCTCACACACACAGAGACATGTACACCTATACATACAAACATACATACGCCTGCCCCCTGTGATTCACAGCCACTCCGACCCTCTACACCAAGGACAAGCGCAGCAGCGGCTGCCGCCGCCGCAGCCGCCGCCGCGGCGGCTGCAGCGGCGACATCTCCCCTTATCCTTCCTCCCGCAAAGGGCGCTCTCCCCGCCCCCGCCACCACCTCCACCGCCGCCACCCCCGCCGCCACCGGTGGCCCTCTTCCTGGATCGGGTTTTGTCCCCCTCGGCCCCCCGGGGGCTGGGGGCCCCTTGGGCCCCGGTCGGTCGCAGAGCCCCATGGCGGCTCGGAGGTCGGTGCCGGGGGCCCTCAACGGACAACCCCTGGGTGCAGGAGCCGCCGCCACGTCACCCGTGGTATGTCCGTCCGTATGTATGTCCATGGGTACATGTGCAGATGCGTAGATCTCCACCTGCAGCTCCACTTGTTTGTCGTGTTTGCCTGCTTATCTGTCTGTCTGTCAGTCTGTGTGTCTGTCCACGTGTATATCTGTCGGATGTTGTTGTCCTGAGGTGTCTGTGCCCCTAACGCGCTGTCCCCCCCTCAGGGCTGTTCGGGGGCCGCAGTGGGTCCCCCTCCCGGAGTGCTGGAGCGCCAAACACAACTGGAGAGCCGCCTGGAGAAGGTGGGGGTGGGCTGGGGATGGGGGTAGGTTGTGGGGCAATTAGGGTGGTTTTTATGCACCTTGCCACTCTCCGCGCTATAACTCACTATTACACCCCTTTCCACAGCCCGTACACACACACACGCATATCGGCTGTTGGCCCGGCGATGCCCTCAACCTCCTCACCCGCAACCCTGGGGGTCTCCTCCTACAGATGGAGCTTCGGGAGCAGCAGCTCATGACTCTGATTGCCCAGCTGCAACAGCAAGTATCCACGTTATCCAGGGCGCAACAAGCGACGCAGCAACAGCTCGCGGTGGTCGCCACCGCAGCGCCGACATCGCCGCCGCCGCCGGCCCCATCACCGCCTGCAGCAGCAAAACCAGACGGCCGCCAGCACAGCCCCGCGCGTGCTACGGCCGCGGCGGCGGCGGCGCCGCCAGTGTCGGACGACATTTCCGACGAGGACTTCATCAAAAATGACGACGGCGAGGATGAGGAGTCGACGACGGCGGTGGGTAGCAGCGCCCGGCACCGCAACGGCGCAGCGGCGGGGCCGCAGCCGCCCCTACAGCTGCAGCAACAGCAGTCACAGCGGCTGGGGACGCCGACGCCGCCAGCGCTGGCAGCGGGTGCCGGTGGTGGTCGTCCTACCCCCAACAAGTTAATTCCGAGTAATGCTACACCCCCCGAGTGGGAGGTGGATGTGTCCCACATCCGGCGGGAGCTGGGGGCGCTGGCGGCGAATGTGGTGAGTGGGAAGTCGGAGTGACGAGGGGAGGAGGGTTTTGTGTATGCAGGTGGAGAGGGGGGGAGGGTCGGTGTTGGTATCGGGGATTGGGGGGCAGGGCTCATCTAGGCGAGAGGGAAGGAAAGGAGATGAAAAGGGGGGAAAAGGTAGGGGGGACTCATACATATTTACATACATGCACACATACACACACACGTAGACACAGCTTACCGCCCCAGGACATCGCCACTCTAACTTTGCATGTTTGCTTTGAACATGTACACCCCGCCAGGCCCACAAGTTTCACGAAAACCCCTGACTACCCCCTCCGCCCCCCCCCCTTCCCACCCACTCACCCGCGCAGGTCCGTCTCCGCGACCAGGTGTTGACCCTGGCTCCCGGGGGCCCGTCCGCCCTGGCAGAGGAGGTGGCGGCGCAAGGGGCGGCAGCAACACAGCTGAAGCAGAATCTCACGCAAATAGCTATGGTGCGTGGAAGGGGAGGGGAGGGGAGGATACGCTGGGGGGTTGGAGTGAGGGAAGGGGAGGGGACGGTTGATGCTTGATGTGGTTAATGCGGTTGACGTGGTTAATGCCATGATGTAGTTAATGCGGTTGATGTGGTTGGTATACCGAGTACACGGAGCGCTGGCGTCTCACTCTTGTGGCGGAATGCCCCGGGGACGGCTCCCTGCACATCCATATCCACACACGTCATCCACATCCCCATACACTCACATACCTGGTCCTCTTTCCCCCCATCGGAGCCACTTAGCAAGTAACTCCTGTGCACACGCTTGTTCCCTCACACCCGCACCCCCCCACACACACATGCAGGACGTCGTATCCCTTCACAAGGGACTCACGGTGAGAGATGGGGTTTGGAAGGGGAGGGGAGGGGAGGGGAGGGGAGGGGAGGGGAGGGGAAGGGAGGGGAGGGGAGGGGAGGGGAGGGGAGGGCAG